GTTATTGTGAGGGATGTTGTTTCCCTGTTTTTTTGTTTTGTTTTGTTTTGTTTTGTTTTTCTGAGCTCTTTTGTCTTTTGTATACAGGAGGGCTACTGATTTTTTTAAGTTAATTTTGTATCCAGCTACTTTGCTGAAGTTGTTTATCAGCTGAAGGAGTTCTCTGGTTGAATTTTTGGGGTCATTCATATATACTATCACAATATCTATAAATAGTGATACTTTGACTTCTTCCTTTCTGATTTGTATCCTCTTGATCTCCATTAGTTGTCTTATTGTGCTAGCTAGAACTTCAAATACTATGTTGAAGTGATATGGAGAGAGGGGGCAACCATGCCTTGTCCCTGATTTCAGTGGGATTGATTCAAGTTTCTCTCCATTTGGTTTGATGTTGGCTGTAGGCTTGCTGTATATTGTCTTTACTATGTTTAAGAATATGCCTTGTATCCCTGATCTCTCCAAGACTTTAAACATGAATGGCTGTTGGATTTTGTTAAATGCTTTTTTGGCATCTAAGGAGATAATCATGTGGCTTTTCTCCTTCAATTTGTTTATATGATGGATTACATTGATGTATTTCCACATGTTGAACCACCCCTGCAAACCTGGGATGAAGCCTCCTTGGTCATAGTGGATGGTATCTTTTATGTGTTCTTGGGTTCAGTTTGCAAGTATTTTATTGAGTATATTTGAATCAGTGTTCATTAGAAAGATAGGACTGAAGTTCTCTTTTTTGTTGAGTCTTTGTGTGGTTTTGGAATCAAGGTGACTGTGGGTTCATAGAATGAGTTTGGTAATGTTCCTTCTGTTTCCATTTTGTGGAATAGTTTGAAGAGAATTGGAATTAGCTCTTCTTTGAAGGTCTGGTAGAATTCTGCACTGAAACCATTTGGCCCTGAGCTTTCTTTCTTTTTTTTTTTTTTTAAGGGAGACTTTTGATGACTGCTTCTATTTCCTTGGAGGATATAAAGCTATTTAATCTATTTACCTGATCTTGATTTAATTTTCTTAAATGGAATCTATCAAGAAAATTGTCCATTTCCTTTAGATTTTCAAATTTTGTGGCATATAGGCTTTTGTAGTAAGACCTAATGATTGTTTGGATTTCCTCAGTGTCTGTTGTTATGTCCTCCTTTTTGTTTCTGATTTTTCTGATTTGGATAGTTTCTCTCTGCCTTTTAGTTAATTTGGCTAAGGGTTGTCTATCTTGTTGATTTTCTCAAAGAACCAGCTCTTGGTCTCATTGATTCTTTTCATTGTTTTTTGTTTGTTTGTTTCGAATTCATTGATTTCAGTCCTGAGTTTGGTTATTTCCAATTGTCTACTCCTCTTGGTTGTGTGTGCTTCTTTTTTTTCCCCTAGGGCTTTTAGTTGTGCCATTAAGTTGCTTGTATGAGTCATCTCAAATGTCTTTCTGGAGGCATTTAGTGCTGTGAACTTTCCTCTTAGCACTGCTTTCATTCTGTCCCATAAGTTTGGGTAAGTTGTGCCTTCATTTTCATTGAATTTTTGGAAGTCTCTGATTTCTTTTTTCATTTCTTCCCTGACCAAGCTGTCCTTGAGTAGAGAGTTGTTTAGTTTCCATGTGTATGTAGGCTTCTTGTTATTTCTTTTGTTGTTGAGGTCTAGTTTTAGGCCATGGTGGTCTGATAGGATACAAGGGATTATTTCAATCTTCTGGTATCTGTTGAGGCTTGCTTTGTGCCCAGGTATAAGGTCAATTTTTGAGAAAGTTCCATGAGGTGCTGAAAAAATGGTGCAGTCTTTTGAATTTGGGTGAAAAGTTCTGTAGACATCTATCAGGTTCATTTTATTTAGGACCTCTGTAATTGTCATTATTTCCCTATTTAGCTTCTGTCTATATGATCTGTCCCTTGGTGAAAGTGGATTGTTGAAGTCTCCCATTATTAAGGTTTTGGGAGCGATGTGTGATTTAAGTGTTAACAATGTTTCATTGGCAAATGCAGGTCCTCTTATATTTGGGACATAGATGTTCAGGATTATGATGTCCCTCTGGTGGATTTTTCCTTTGATGAGAATGAGGTGCCTCTCCTCATCTTTTTTGATTAATTTTAGTTGAAAAATCTATTTTATTAAATATTAGGATAGCTACCCCAGCTTGTTTTCTGGGTCCAATTGCTTGAAAAACATTTTTCTAGCCCTTTACTCTGAGGTAGTGTTTATCTTTGTTGTAGAGGTGTGTTTCTTGGATGCAACAGAATGTTGGATCCTGTTTTTGCAACCATTCTGTTAGTCTGTGTCTTTCTATTGGAAAGTTGAGTCTGTTGATGTTGATAGAAAATAGTGACCAATGAATCTTAGAATACAATGAATCTTCCTTGTATTGTGGAGTTCGTGGTGTTATTGTGTTTTAATGCTTTTAATTCTTTTAATTTTTTTGTTGTGAAGTTATCTATATCCTGTGTTTTCTTGGGTTGGTTGATTTCAATGGATTGGAGTTTTCCTTCTAGTATCTTCTGTAGGGCTGAGCTGCTGTGTAGATATTATGTAAGTTTAGTTTTGTCATGGAATATTTTGATTTCTCCATCTATGTTGACTGAAAGCTTTGCAGGATATAGTATTCTGGGTTGGCAACTTTGGTCTCTTAGAGTCTGCATGACATCTGCCCAGGTTCTTCTGGATTTCTCATTTTCTGCTGAGAAGTCTAGTGTGACTCTGATAGGTCTACCTTTATATTTTATTTGGCCTTTTCTCCTTGCTGCTTTTAATATTTTTTCTTTGCTCTGTAGATTTACTGTTTAGACTGTTACATGTCATGAGGAATTTCTTTTCTGGGCTACTTTTCTATTTGGTGTTCTGCAATCCCCTTGTATGTTTATAGACATCTCTTTAAGTTGAAAAAAATTTTCTTTTATGATTTTCTTTAAAATATTTTCTGGACCTTGGAGCCGGGAATCTTCTTTTTCGTTTATTCCTATTATTCTTTGATTTCATCTTTTCATGGCGTCCTTGATTTCTTGGTTGTTTTGTGTTTGGAACTTTTCTTATTTTACTTTTTCTTTGAGAGATGTATCAATTTCTGCAATTGTATCATCAACACCTGAGATTTTTCTCTTCCATCTCTTGTATTCTGTTGGTGATGCTTACCTTTGTGGTTCCTGATCTTTTCTCTAAGTTCTCCAGCTCCACAGTTTTCTCTGTTTGTGTTTTCTTTATTGATTCTAATTCTGTTTTCATCTCTTGCACCATTTCCTTCATCTGTTTCAATGTGGATTCCTGTCTTTCCACGATGGCCTCTTTTCTTGTTTGTTTGTTTCCTTTCTATATGCCTCTACTTGTGCCTCTACCTGTGCCTCTATTTGTTTGGCTGTACTTGCCTGCATTTCTTTGAGAGCTTTGTTCATTTCCTCTTTATGTGCCTCTAATAACTGGATAAGCATAAATTTGAGACCATTTTCCTGTGTTTCCGATGAATTAGTATATCTGTTGATTTTGGGGGTTGCTGGTGAAGCCACGATGTTCTGATTTTTGTTGGATGTGTTCTTATGTTGACCTCTAGCCATCTGCTTATCTGTAACCTTTGAGATTTGTTCCTGGAGTCTGTACTTTAGACTGGGTCCATCTGTCTCTGGTACCTGGAGTATTCTTTAGTAAGATGAGAGAGGTTCACTGGTTTGAGAGTGGATGTTGGTGTTTCAGCTGTAGCTAAGGGAGGAAGGTCACAGGCACATGTGCACAAGCACAGAAATGTGCATGGAAGTTTGCCTTGAAGGACAGGGTGCTAGAGTGTGTAGATGCCTGGAATGTGGAGCTTACGTGCAGGAGGGGTGCGGGTGCTGGCGCTGTGAGCGCAATGTGCATGTGCAGGTGCCCTGAGTACCTCAGTGGCCTACAGGCCTGTTGTACTGTCTTCCTGGTATTCAGATCTGTCTGGGCTTCAGGAATTTTTTGCCTGGACTCCACTGGTAGACCCACAGAACAGGGGCTTCAATGTTGAGAACACTGTCCCAGTAGCCCATTGGACGGAAGGGATCCGATGTTTGGCTGCTAGTGTAAGGGAGCCTGGATCTGAGGCTCTGTATGTACTCACTTGAAGGTGCACTCACTCACTAACAGGTCTAACTGGAAAACACAGGGTTTCCCCCTGTTCTCTAATCTCAGATTTGGGCCCATAGGGGTGAATGAGAACGTAGGAGATCTGACAGCTCTGTGGTGTCCACTGTTTGACTGCCAGACAGGGAGACCTGTACTTGGGGTAGCCACCTCTGCTGTCTCAGTCACCGAGAATGGAAGCTTGTGCTTGGAGCGATCACTGCCACCCACCCCGGGCAGGGAGGCCCGTGCTTAGGGCAAGGGGATGTGCAGAGGGGTTGAATATTCGCCACTCTCAGTTCCTAGAGATGTCCACAGGTGGATCCAAAATGTCCCACCTCATGGGTCATCCCCTCTTGCCCAGGAAGCCTCAATGTCAATGTTCTGGTTTCAGCTGCCCTTCCACTCACCAATTTTGGAGTTTCAGTTCCTGTGCCCCTCAATTACAGATACACTGGCAGCAGCCATCTTGGATTCTGGTCAGCATGAGATTCCTAAACCTCCAATCCCACCCTCAGTAACCCAATCAGTAAAAACTCAGTAACACCCAGTAGTTCCTCCAACAAAGCCACATCTCCTAATTCTTCACAAACAGTTTAACCAACAAGGAACCAAGCATTTAAATATATGAATCTATGGGAGTCATCTTCATTCAAGCCACCCCATAGCAGCATACACACAGTTCATGTGCAGAAAATGAAATTATATCCTGAAGCTCCTCTGTGTGACTGTTTTAGTATGTGGTAAGAAAATTTCAAACAACAACATTAATGATATATTAAGAAGCACCATTCATCTTGAAACCTAAGAAGCTGTTTATGAAAACTTCACATTTCACAAGAGAGTCAAGTACATAAGATACCTTCACCACATTGCACCACGTGTTGTGCTTATAGCTAGAAATCTGCAAGTTCGAAACTTACTTTGTCATAACTGTTTTTATTCAGATGAAGTTTTGAACATCATTGAAAATGAAGGATTTACCATACTGATGCAGAGGCAAATATCATTATCAGAGGAAGAAGCAAGAACACTGTGCAAGACATATAAGAACGAGGATTACTTTGATAAACTTATATCCTATGTGTGCAGGTAAAGCAGGGATCAGGCTTAGAAAGCGTTCTGATTATTTTCTGTTCATTTCAACCTTTTTAAAGCTTCCTTTTCATTAGACTAGAAAACTTCTGAATTCTTCAAACAAGTTCTTGGTCTATTTCTTTTTCAGTGTTGTTACTGTGCTCGTTCTCTGCTCAAATGTCTGTCTTCTTTCTCTCTCTCTCTAAAATACTGTTAGAGAAAATAATGGGTCCCATGGACATGGACACATACCAGTTTCCAGTTGAGTTGGATGTAGAATTTCAGAGTGAGCAATATTACCAGGTCCAAGCAGAGAACTATTAGAGCCTTTGGGCTGTCTAATTACTGTTTTGAGGGTTTGATAAGCTTTGATATCACACATCCTAGAGAAGAAATAAGATGCTGGAAAGCTGCCTGATAGCTAGTGGAGTAACAGAAATGAAGCTGAAGCAAAAAGCCAGCAAGATTACATAAACCAACCAATGTATGACAGTTTGGAAGAAACCACTCCAAAGAGCTTTTCTTCCTATCTGTTTTCTCATCTCATCTAAGTGTACTCTTGAGTGGATGCCAATATATATTAATGTTGGACTCCTTATAGATCATTTGATACACTGAAGTCAGTTTAACGACACATACTTGTGTCCTCTGGATGTCATTAGCAACTAAGATGTTCTTTCATTAACTATTGGTTTTTTGCTTTTTCTAACAGTGATAAATCTTATGTCCTTGTTCTATTGAGGGGAAATGCTGTGGACTACTGGCAATATTTAATCGGACCCAAAACTGTTGATGAAGCTTTTGTATCTCATCCAGACTGGTATCACTTACATCTTGGCTCCCTACCCTTTTTCATGCAATGCAGTTTTAGTACGAGAGAACTTCTCAAGAAAGCAAGTGTTCCTAGTGGAGTATTTGACTGCCTAGTGTGGAGGTCTGCTCTAATATAAATTTGGAGATAGCCATAGTTTTCCAAGAAGAGCTGGAATGCTTGACTTAGGCCTCGTGTCTCTCTACTTACAGGAAGAACTATCCACCATAGTCACAATTTATGACAAATTCCCATGAGAAAAGTTGTGATCATAGCTTCAATATCTTTAATTGATCATAAGAGCTTTGAAATGTTGATGGGAAAAATCAAGATTAACCTTAACACTACTATACAGAGAACTTTAATCTTACCAAGTGAAGTCTCACAGCTAGCCATAATTTTTTACTACAGGTTTTCCTGCCCTTTATTGTTTCCCTTGGTCATAGCCATTAACAGTGGCATTTAATTGTCCACATATTTTCTTCCCAATGTGTGCTACTCCCTGAAAGGACATTGTATGTCAAAGTCACTAGTTAATTATTTCCTGTTATGCAGTACTTAGATCTGGGATGTGTGTTGTTGCTTGATTTTTTTTTTCCAAACTTAAATAAATAGTGTGATTTTGGGGCTGGAGAGATGGCTCACTGGTTAAGAGCACCGTCTGCCCTTCCAAAGGACCCAGGTTCGATTCCTAGCACCTACATGGCAGCTCACAACTGTCTATAATGCCAATTCCAAGGGATCTGACGCCGTCACACTAATGCACATCAAATAAAATGAAATAAAATTATAAAAAATATTGTGATATTACATGTGATTATTATATTACATTCAATTTTTAACTGAGTTTCTCCCCCCCGATAGTTTGTGTGCACAGTTTGCCACAGAAAGTTTACCTGTCAACCAGTTCTACGGAAGCAGCTCAAAAGCAGCAGCTGAGAAAGAAATAGAGTACTTCTTTCCTCCGCAGAGCACGCTGGCACTGATCAAGCCTCATGTGTCATATGAACACAGGGGTAAGCATCTACTTTATCTTCAAGTCCTGACAGCTTATGTTCTGCTTGATTTGCTCTATATAAGGTTATTCCCCCTGAATTTTCTTATTGGGTTATTAAGTGTTTTTTTTTTCAATTTCTTTTTTATTTTGGCTTTTGTTTCCTTCAATGCTTCTCTTTATTGAATTCAGTCTTCAAATCCTGACTTGTCTCCATTCCTTCACTCTGTTGTATATTTATATTTTCTTGGACGTTATTCAGGCACTTATTTTTAGCCAAGTGGAGTTCAGTGACGTGTTTGTTCATATCTACTTTAAACTCACTGAGTTATTTGGTAAAATTTCTAGTTGTTCTTCTAAATGTTGCCTTCTGGATTCTCCTGTAGGACTAGTGGATTTTAAGGGAAACTTTCTGAAAATGAACTCCTTGGATATTCCAGGGAGCACTGTTTCCTGGCTTGTGGGTTAGGAACCATGCATATTATTCTTTATCATACCATCTTCTCATGATAAATTTACTGGGTCAGCTCAAATTTTGATGTATGCTTTGTACTCTGTTCACCTTTGTCACTTAGAGGGACCCTGGAGGTATAACCTGATTATCTTTGCGAGCAGGAAAGGCCCAATCTTGTTCAGGTTTTCTGTAGATTGGGTCTCACTCACCTTTCTTCCCAACCCAGCACCTCTGAGTGTTTTTTATTTGGTGTAAAAAAAAATACTTTATTTCTTTTTCCCTTTCCCTTTCCCTCTTTCCCAGGCATCATCGCATCTTCCCCCCTCCTCCTCTTCCTTTGTCAGAAAGCTCCAGGTCTTTCAGTTGCTTCCCCTTGGTCTGGAGAATGAAAGCTTCAGCATTCAGGCTGTTGGTGAGATGCGTACAGTCTTCACTGTATTGATGCACCCAGCAGTGCCTCTCGGTGTCAGGCAAGAATGTTCGCCTTGCCTCTCCCCCCAGCACAGATCACACAAGAAATTCGTAGACATTTGGGGCAGAAAGACGAAGCTATGTCTTCGTGCTTAGCATGTCAGCAGACTTCCTTTTCCCTTTGATGCGTCCTCAGTTGATCACAGTGGGGCATCGAGGCTAACGACCTGAAGGTCTTCTGGCTGGGAATTTGGTGCTTTTAGTCTTACACGATTTTGTATATATCAAAATCATTAGATGCAAGTTGAACTCGTGTTTTCCTCTGACATTTTGATTGCCTTGAATATACCACGGACATGGGATGAATGCTCTACAATGGTATTTAATGTTTGTTTCCTTAGTGGAGATCCTAAAGACCATCAAAGAGGCGGGATTTGAGTTGACCCTGCTGAAGGAAATACACCTGCTTCCAGAGCATGCAAACAAAATTTATTTCAAAATAACAGGAAGAGATTTCTATAAGCATGTATTGGAAGTCTTGTCTATGTAAGTTTGGGCAACTACTGACATGTAGTTATTTGTACTGTAGAAGTGGTTCCTGTACATTATAGAAACTGTGGGAGACATAAATTACTTTTTAAATAGTGCTCTATCTAATCTGACTCATGGAGAAACACTTTGTTAGCATTGATAGTTTATTTTTACAATTTCTTCCCCCTTCCTTTCTTATCTATCTGTTCTTCTAGTTGTTTAGTTCTTCATACTACATATAGAGGCTGTCAAGGTTTAAGTTCTTGTTTAGCCAATGCAGAACTATGTTAAAATATTCTTATCTGTAAAATAGAAAGACACAAGACTTGCCTTACAGGAAGTGAAATCAATGAAAACCTGCACCACAAACACCAAGAAAGCAAAGCTCCAGGCAACTTTGTTGTAGATTATGTTGAGAGCTGTTGGTTTAGGTAATATATTTAGAGGATTGTGCAGGCAGAGGCAAAAGAGGTGAAAGGGGCAGGAAGAAGAGTTCAAGGTGCTATACAGAGGACCAAAGTCTCTGCTGACCAACTAGATCTGCCATCTAAGTGGTAATGCAGTGGGCTGAGGACTTATACCAGCCAATCACTGGATAGAGTACATCTTGAGAATAAGGGTAGTCTGGGCAAGGTAGCCTTCTGCAGTGGAGGCAATCCCTATAGGGCTAGACAATGGTTCTCAACTTATGGACCACAACACCTTTCGGGGTCGCATGTCAAATCTCCTGCACATCATATATTGACATTATGATCCGTAGCAGTAGCAAAAGTACAATTATGAAGAAGCAATGAAACAGTTTCATGGTTGAAGGTCACCACATGAGGAACTGTATTAAAGGGCCAGAGCATTAACGAGGTTGAGTACCACTGCACTGGAGACTGAACGGTGAACATAAAGTAAAAGCCTGGGTCCAGGACAATGTTTGTGTGATCCCCAAAATGGTAAAAATGGGAATTCTCTCACATTCATTCTCTAGAATTAAGTTACAGCACCTAAATGACACAAAGCTTGTGAAAAAGAAGAAAATACATGATTATATTGATTAGGGAAAAATTCTCTGGATGTGCCAGAAGCATTCTGTCTTTAGCAATGTGTGGAGGGACCAGCCTTCTAAAAGAATTGCCATTTGCAGGGGCAACTCTATAGTCATGGTTCTGACCAAGTGGAATGCTGTTGCAGAATGGAGACGCATGATAGGCCCCGTAGACCCAGAAGAAGCAAAGCTCATCTCCCCAGGTTGCCTCCGAGCCAAATATGGGGTAGACATTTTGAGAAATGCTGTCCATGGGGCATCTAACCCAGATGAAGCAACAGTCATCATCAATACTATGTTCCCAGAGAATGATCCTGAGAAGGCAGAACACTAGAGTACGTACTATAAAGTATATGCCACTTTAATACATTGTGTTTTCTTTTTTAATTTTATTTTCGAGATTATATCTTTACATTTCTCATATCCCTTTCCTCCCTCCAAACCCTCTCACATATCCACCTCCTCTCTCCTTCAAATTCATGTTTTCTGTTTCAACTAATTGTTATTTTATACACACACACACACACTTTTTCCTAAGTATAACCCGTTTAGTCTGTGTAGTGTTACCTGTATGTGTGTTTTCAGGGCTGACCATTTGACATTGGACAACCCATTGATGTGAGACGAAGTCTCACAGCAAATATTCTGCTCCCTCTTTCACAGTATTTCCTAAGCTTTAGGCTCAAGAGTGTTTTGTAGATGTATCCACTGGGAGTAGGCACCACTACTCTGCATTCTGATTGGTTGTGAAAGTTCCTCTGTCCTTTTTTTTTTCTTTTCTTTTTTCTTTTTTTGATATATGGTGAAGACTACATTTATCTGTGGATATAAAGACAAATGCTTATAGAATGTTGTTAGGGGTTGTGCTGATTTAGTAAATTAGTGGTTGTAGATTCCTCTTCGATAACCAAGACTTCACTACCATCGAGCAGTTAGCGAGGCTTCCATTACCAGGCATGGTTTCCCTCTTGTTAAGCAGATCTTAAATCCAATCAAAGAGTTGTTTGCTGCCAAGGCTGCAGCATCCATCTCTGATGTCTCTGATGTCTATTGGTGTCTACGGACCACACCAATGACTGATATGACATGACCACAGTACAGTAGCGGTATGCTACTTCATGTTAAATACAGAGTAAGAAATGAATGATATTTTTCCATCAAACCTGTTCTTCCTCCTTATGTTTAAAAGCAAAGTTTAAATATCTACAGCATATCTCTAGCTATGTATTTTCCAATAACAAACCTGTGTGTGGAATATTGTCTTAACAGACCTGGTTCAGTGTCCACAAGAAAGTAAGGAAACTGTGAAGTAGAGAAAACCTGTTAGCAAGGTCCTCCAGGAGCAGAAGAGAATACTGTTTGTCTTAGGTTGGTATTACTATTGCTGTGATAAAAAGACTATAACTGAAGCAACTTCGGGAGAAAAGGGGTTTATTTGGCTTACACTTCCACATCATAGGCCATCACTGAATGAAGTCAGAAAAGGAACCCAAGCAAAGCAAAGACATGGATCAGGAGCTGATGCAGAGGCCATGGAGAAGTGCTGCTTATGGCTTGCGCCTCGTGGCTTGCTCAACCTGCTTCCTTAGAGAACCCGGGACCGCTAGCCAGGCGATGGCACCACCCATAATGTCTGGGCCCTCCCCCATCAACTGCTACTGTAAAAAATGCTCTGAAGGTTTGCTTACAGCCCCATGTTATGAAAGAATTTTCTTAATTAAGGTTCTCTCCTCTCAGGTGACTTTAGCTTGTGCCAAGTTGACATGAAACTATCCAGCACACTGTTCCACATTCTATTTAGCCATTAGAATCCAGGATCAAAATACTGTATATAAAAGTAGTTTTGTAAATCAAGGCATGGTTTTACACCCTATGGATGTTCATGTTTTGAAAATATGAATTTTATGTATGGTTTCAGCTATGTTTAAACGAAGTATAATACTTGCAAGCAGATGTAAATCTATTGGGATGACGAGTGAGGGAGTGATGGGAATGAAGCTTCTCAAAAGGCCTACACTCTCCATGTAGCTTCTGTTGAGTGTGAGTTTTTCTCCTAACATTTGTGTTGCCCTTCTTTTATGCCAAGGGCAAGGGGTTTCCATTTAGTATACATGATTCAGTGTTGAACTGGGACATCTGTATGTTTCACAGGTCAGAGGCAGCCAAGTTAAATATTGAAATATACCTGGAAATATCGGTTAGAATTTCAAAGTCAGAAATAAAGACAAGAGAGAGAATGTTTTAGAATTTCCAAGTAGTCACATCTATTTATAAACATAGATAAGCACATAAACGCACACGTACATGAACTCTCTTAATGCTTGCACATAAAAATATGTTGGATGCTTTCTGTCCTATGGAATATTACTATGAGGGTAATATTACAAGTCTCTATCACACATTTAAGACACTTTTTATTTTATTTTGGCTCTTGCTGTATGCTGGGTATACACAATTCTTTATGCTGACTGAGTTCATGACTGCAAGAAGAGAAGGTAGAAAATGCTATGTGTCCTAGAGCAGATGCTTATAGAAAGCAGAGAGGGGGAGAAATGAGGCACAAGTCATCCAGGCAGGACACTTGGCAATCAGCAATGTGAAACATTAGAGAAGCCAGAACTAACTTGGGAAACGTGAGTTTAGGATGGGTGGATGATAAAATGATTCTTAGAAGGCTGCATTGTGCCAGGATTTAATAACTGGCTGCCGCCCTACCAAAGAAAGAAGAAAAGAGATTTTATGGCTTCAGCCACTGGGTAAGTAAGCTAGTCAGTCTCAGAAGATTCAAAACAGAGAAGAGAGTTAGAAACACCATGCATTCTGTGCTGGTCACATTGGGTAAGTGATATCCAGAATTTAAGATAAATCAGGTTATATGAGCTAGGGAGGTTGAAAAGACTCCTGTGTGGTTGATGACACCAACAAAATGATGGAGCATGTGCCTATCCTGCTCTTAGGACATAAGAACATTACCAGAAACTGCTATGAAGAGATTTTTCAGGAATCTTGAAAGTAAAGATTTGTGGGGACCTGAAAAATGATGATTCATTTTAGAAAAGAGCAACAGAAGATGGTCTGAAAGGCTGTGGCTACATTCTCAAGGTCAGAGCCAAGTCTCCAAATCTAAAAAGGGCAGATTTTACACATTATTTTGTTTGCTTGCATTCACATTTCTGAATGCCATCTGAAATAAGAATTGCACACACACACACACACACACACACACACACACACACACACACACAC